GGCCAATGAAGGAGGCAGCTGGGGTGAACGATTCAGGCTATGCAGGTGGTGGGGGACCCAGCCTTCTGGCTCTTGTCCTCCCCAGAGTCTGGGAGGAAAGGGTTATGAAACCTCAGTATTAGAATTACCCAGTCCCACTTCCAAGGGAAGCAGGCAGTTTCTTTTTTTTTTTTTTTTTTTTTTGGACCGCCCACATTTGGTTCCTGGCCTGTACGAAGTCTGATGGATCCCAACATCCATTTGAGAGGTGCTGACTTCAGATGGGTGCCTTAGCTCTGCCCCTAACCTGAGCAATCTGAACAGGCTCTCTGGATGTCTATGAAAATGAGAAAGTGGCCCTCAGGCCTGGTCCTGCCACAGTGGCGCCCCAGGGCTCCTCGTAGAGCCTGGAGTTAACACGTATGTTGTTAGACCTGGAACCCATGTGTGGCTCCAGAGATGAGCCTCTGCCTGCTCATCCCCTCCAGGGGTTGAGGAGCACAAAATACAGGCGAGTTATCTCCTGGGGCTCTGAACACAGTAGAGAGACAGACAAACAGGTACACATACACACAGAGGGCCAAGAATCAGGCATTGATCCGGTTCTTACCAGAGATAACACAAAATCTGACAGACACATGCCATCGTGCAACCTCCACTGAAGGATCTGGGACATACTGAGGGTACTAACATCCTTATTCTCTTGACCCGGGGGCTCCGGCCACGCCCACCCCTGGGATGCCCCAGTCTGGAACCACTGGCCTTACCAGCCTCTCAGGTCAGTGTAGAGAGAAGACAAACAGAACAGAAGGGCTTGGGCCCAGACTGAGAGCTCAGTGTCACACCAAGATTGGTCAGCGTCAGAGCTGGAGCAGGAGGCAAAGGCTCCTCTTAACTATGCTGGAGCAGGATGCACTTGACATGCCCTGTTTATTTGAGATGTCTAAAACGCTGACGTTTTTCTTAAAAATACATCCCGTGCGGTGTGACGATGACGATGCATCTGAGAAATGTCACTGGTCAACTTGGTCACTGCAGAGCATCACGGAGTTTGTCACACAAACCGAGGTTCCTGCAGTATTCCTGGGTGATCCAGTCTTTGGAGACCATCTGGAATATGTGATCCGTACCTGACAGGAAGATTGTTATACGAGAAAATAAAACCTCGCAGGAGGCAAGTAAAGATCACACCGCCGCACATGATCCGAACCCCACTCCTTCAGAGGGGAAACCTGAGCTGTTCCCGCCTCCAGAACACACACTTAGGATGGTTGTAAGGGGCACGCTGCTCCGAATGCTATTTCCCAAATGTTTTCCTTGGCACGATGTCATCGAAGTTTTCCCAAGGCCTTTAAAAAATATCCCAGCAGCGTGACTTTATCAGCTGTGGTTTCTCCAGGTCTACAGGCCTATCCTGTGTCAGCTGCCTCGGTTTTCAGGAAGCAGGAAATAGAGTTGTCCCTGAAGGAGCTGGCCTCCAAGGTACCTGGTGGAGCCCAGGCCTGCATCTGCACGTGTTCCTGGCCACCCTGTACCTCGAGTGGACTTGGAGCTTCCCATAGGCCAATTCCTGCATCACTGCCCACTCAAGGAGGTGGGAAAGCTCTGCCTGAGCCTCACCTGCGTTGGCCTTTTCAGTTCCTATTTGCTTGAAACAAAGCAAGTTGTAGCCATTTGGGGAGCACATGCTGAGCATCAATAGCAAAGGTCACATCATGGGCGCTGGGGTTGGCAGGCCCCACGTGCAGATGCTCTGCAGGTATGGCGTCCTTCCCCTCTGTCTAGGCGGACTGTCTAGTCTCACCTGTGGGTACACTATGTGCTTCTCCTCAGGAGCAGGGCCCCACCTGCCCTGGGCCCTGAGGCCTCTCCCACCCCATCCTGGAAACAGTCAAGGGTCACTAGTGAGGAGGGAGCTTCTGTTTGGACCGCGTGATGGAAAGAGCTGCTGCAGGGGAGCGTGGGTTTCTCCAGCTACATCCAAAGGGAAGGCGGAAAGAGGCAGGGGTGGGCGGCAGCCTCAGGCCCGCTGTGTGGGACGAGCTGACTAGTCCAATCCCCCCGACCAGGCAGAACAACGATAGTGTTCCCCATCTTGACCTTCACGGTTTCCTAAGGCCTGAACATCTGGTGGGTGGCTCTGGGGCTCCCCCACCAAAACAGGCACACACAGTCAGGCCCTAAATTAAAGTGTCACAGGCCTCTTGGGGGGCTCAAGTTTCCTGAGAACATGAGCCTGCTTGATAAAACGATTTTGGTTGTGATAAATGTGGATTTTCTGTGGTAGAGACAAAGGCGCCCTTGAGTCCAGGGGGGGACCTAAAACAGCACGTTGCTGAAAAGTATTTCCTGACAATATTTTTAGCACCTGAAAAAAAAACTATTTTCCCCTCGATTTTTGCCCGTGGGTCTTTGTGTGGGGTGTGTGTGTGTGTGTGTGTGTGTGTGTGAAATAATGCCCAGCAACAACAGTGAGGTCTGTGTTAGCCCCACTCCACCCCCAAACGCTGTCTCCCAAGCCTCACTGAAAGTCTGCACAGGGCACCCAGTTGGAGATAGAGGTCAGTGCCACCTCTCTTGATGGAGATCGGAGGACCCAGCCTGCAGCTGTACCTCCCCACAAGCCCAGTTCTGAGATCAGCCTGTGTCCTCTACCCCGCAGCGGGTCAGGGGGTTCTTGTGGGAAGCAGTCCGGACCCCACTTGCTGCCCACTGCTTTCCATGCCTGGAAGGATGGTCTTCAATCAAGGGATCTATTGAACAACACTGTGTACATGGCAGTGTGCTGAGTCCTGAGGCACCCCGGAAGTTCCCAAGCTGACCCTAGCCCAAATCCAGACGTGGGGCTTTGCTGGGACCCTCTGAGGCACCTACGTGGGGGAAGGGTGGCAGGGCTGAGGTGGGGCCGGGCACTCAGGGTAAAGCAAAGCTGTACACGGTTGGAGACAGCAGAGCTGGCTAGTGACAGATTCTGTTTAGTGTCCCAGGGGCAGGAAGGCTAATCTGTATTCCCCTAAACTTCCACCCTTGGGACTGCATTTCCATGTGAGAGAGGAGACTGGAGCTTCCTAGCAGGCGCGGAACCCAACAAAGAGGCTAGATAGAGCTCCTGGGTACCGGGTATAGTGACCAAGCCGGCTGGAAGCTCTGGGCTAGAGGATGCCTTGAGAGGCCTGGTCCTGATGACACTGACTTGGCCTGGTCAGTGAAGCCAGGGAACTCCCCACAAAGCACTCTTAAATCCAGGAGCCTGGCCCAAGGGCTGATCTTTTGTAGTTGTTGTTGTTGTTGTTGTTTGGTTTGGTTTGGTTTTAGAGACACAGTTCTCTGTGTAGTTCCCTGACTGTCCTGGAACTCACTCTGGCCTCAAACTCAGAGATCCACCTGCCTCTGCCTCCTGAGTGCTGGGATTAAAGGCGTGCGCCACCTCTGTCACCAGGGGCTGATCTTCTATAGCTAACTGTAGAGGTGAACCTTTCCCGTCTCCAGCCTTGGTTTATCCCTCTGCAAAAGGGGATCGCCACACAAAGTGAGGTGTATGGGCAAGAGCAAGGCAAGCCAGGCACTAGGCTAGGATGGAAGGAATTGGTCACTTTCAGGCTCTTGCCATTGCAAACAAAGATGTCCTTAAATTTAGTGCCTGTCCCTGACATCACAGTGGTAAGGCTGCTGAGAACAGAATCTGTATAAGCTAGGAACCACTGACTGACACACATAGAACTCTCTGCTATACCTTAAAAAATAGCATGTAATGTTCCTTTCTCTAACTGAAAGACAGCACACGCTTGTTAGAGAGATTTCAGGAAACACGGAAAACGCAAAGCCAGCATAAAACCACCCATAATCTCAGTAATGGCAGCTGTTACTCTTGCAGGTTTTTTTTTTTCCATCTTCTTCTTCTCTTTGAGAGAAATCATCTTGCCTTTGGAGATCCCAGATTTGGCTTATAGCTATACGTCGCCCAATAGCAGGATGTGGGAGTGGACAAGAAGGTGGGGACTGAGGCCCTAGGAGTCAAATCCCTGTAGTGATTCTGGGGACACAGAAATGGATTAGATTGCACTCCTAAGGCAGGACAGCCACTTAAAAAGCAATTCTCATGATGAGCAAGGAAGGTTAAGGCACCATAGCAACTGATGTGCCCCTGGGCCTTGATACTGGCCTATCCCACAGGTCTCCCTGATACTTTCCAGCTGTGATAGGTGTCTGATCCCTTCAGATAAAAACAAACAAACAAACAAACAAACAAAAAAACCCTTACATAGGGAGAAAGCTGTGTAAGTCTTCAAGTCTCCCAGGCCCAAGGTTCACCTTCAATGAAACCAGATAAGGAACAGACCCTAGGACAGGCTTCATCTGGCATTGAAAGTTGGTGACCTAGGCTAGGATTGGGGTGTGGTGGGCACACTTGTTTCATCTAAGTGCTGCAGGACAAAGTGGGCCCAGACTGGCATTCTATCAGGGAAAGATGCTCTGGACAGACAGGGACCCAGAGGACACTCAGGAAACCTGTCCAAAATCAGGCCTTAGGGCAACCAGTCAGCTTCAGAACTGCTGGATTAGCCCAGGCGCCCCTGGTGGGCAAGCCCCAAGCTGGTGCCTAGAGAAGGCAGTCCCTCACCTCATGAATGCCCAACTGCAAGGGAGCTCCAGAAGCTAGGGGGTCTCGGGGCTGGAGGGGGAACCAACCCAGAACTAGTCCGACTTTAAGAGCCTAGAAACGGGGAGACCTCGCTCCGGCTCCCTCCCGCCAAGACCAGCAAGTTAAAACTGCCACTATTTGCATGACCCCGCCTCTTCCCGCCCCTCCCGGGTGGCCGCCAAGGCTGACTATTTAAACCCTGGGACCGGAGGTGGGCCGGCGGTCCGCGGTCCTGCCTCGCTCCTTCCTAGGCAGCGCTGCGCCCGGAGTGCAGCGCGAGCGAGCTAGCGAGAGCCGACAGGCGACGGTGCGGCCAGTTGGCCGTGCGGTGACTGCGGCCACCTGCCCGAGCACCCTGGTCCGCCCTCAGAGCCCGGCGATGCGCCGCGGCGCCGCATGGGCGCTGCTGCTGGCCGCAGCCCTGGGGCTCGGGGCTCGCGGGGTGCGCTCTGCGGTGCCCCTCGCCGACTTCTACCCTTTCGGCACGAAGCGCGGCGACGCCGTCACCCCAAAGCAGGACGACGGCGGCTCGGGGCTGCAGCCCCTCTCGGTGCCCTTCCCGTTCTTCGGCGCCGAGCACTCCGGACTCTACGTGAGTAACCCCGAGCTCGAGGGGGCTCCAGGGAGGGCGTCGCTGCCCTCCTCCCCAACTCCCGCTGCTGCTGCAGCCAGCATCTTGGCACCGCAGCAGCCAGAGGTGGAATGAGGACAGCGCTTCCTCTCTCCCGCCGCCAAGGCCGGACAGCGGCTGGCTGGAGAGGCGTGGGCAGGGCGGGGCGAGCAGCCGCCAGGGCACCTAGGCGACAGCCAGGCCAGCGGAGCGCGGCGCGCCCCTCCGGCTCATGGCCCGACCTGTTGGGACATTGGCAGAGTTGTTCGCCAGGCATCCACAGAGCTACCAAGTGGGGACCCTCGCTCCTGTTCCTTCACAGAGCTATGTGGCAGTGGGTATATGGCCTCTGGTCACAGTTTTCCCAGTGGGGCATCTGGCTTGTGATGGTCTCAACCCTCTCTGGGCCACTTCAGCCTCACATGCAGTTAACACCCAAGGCCCAGAGCCAGAAGGAATTCTGGCTTGACATGCTTAATTATAGAAGACCTGCGCTGGGCAGGGCTGGCAGCTAGGGGCAGTGTGGAGGGGTTTACGCCTCTCTCCCATTCTTAGTCCAAAGGTTGGTCATCCAGGCTCAGACCCTCTAAATGGGACTCCCGAAGGTAATTCCCACCCCCCAACACGGATGCAGGAAAGGTGTCAGTGGATAACAAAGCCTGAGTCTCCTTGTTCCCAGGGTCTGACCCTGAGCCGACCACTTGTGCACAGCGGGGGAGGGGGCGGGGGGGGGGGTAATGAGCTGTGATGAAGTGACCACTTAGCGCTAGTCCTGAAGTCTTCTGAATCACCCGATCACCCAGTCAGCTTAGAAACATCTGAGCCAACTTGGTCTACAGTTAAAACACCATCTTCTTAACCACAGCCTCTGCCACATACAATGCCAGTCACCATTAGCACTACGACCTCCACTATCAGTACTACCACTGGCTCCTCACCTCTACCACAAGCACTGCCTCTTTCAGCCCCATATTGGCATCCCCACCATCTTGAGCAATGCCTCCATCACCAGCCACATAGTCTGCATTCTCATCCTGACATGAAACGTTGTCCACCAGCCTGTCCACCACCACCATCTCCAAAACACCAATCCCCACAGCTGCCAGCATCAACCCACACAGTCCACCATGGTGGCACTCCACAGCCTTCTTGTGCCCACTCAGAATGGCCTCCTCACCTTGGTGGCAGGGTCTGGTGACATGAACAGGGAGGGCATGGAGCGAGAGGAGAGGCAGCCATCACTGAAAATCCCTCTGGCCTGGGACTTGTAAGCTGTAGACAGGAAGAACTGTGCTCAGGGACTCTCCAGCAGAAAGAGGCCGCCTGTACATCTCAGGAACGTGAAGACTCATCCTAACAGATCCCTGTCAATATGTTCTTTGAGCATTCTGGCTAGCCTTGAATTTTCCACTCCCACATCACAGGTGAAAATATTATTGAAATGGTTGACCCTCTTAACATGAGAAACCAACCTCTGGCTCCTAGGAAAACATGCACCCTACAGGAGCCTCTCCCCAAAACATACACTGTAAAAAAAAAAAACAAAAAAAAAACAACAAAAAAAAACACTCGCTGATGTGCACACAGTGTGCACAGTGTACCCTGCCTTTCCCTCTGCTCAATGGAAAAGAAAGTGGAATTCTTCAGGAAGCCATGCCCATTTATCTAGCCCGAAACAGCCCTTAGGGCATGTGGGTAGGTGACTGTCAAGGTTATATGGAGAAAAGGAGGCATTGGCTCAAGAGCAGAGTATCTGCTGAGTGTCCCCAGGCCCCTCAGGCTGAGAGGATGCCCCTGCTCTGGCCCTCATTCAACCCCACATAGCAAGAGATGGCGTCAGAAGCTCTCCTTGCCCTCACAGCTTGGTTAAAAGTAGGCTTGTTGAAGGAATGAGTGAATGAACGCATGCCCCAATTTTCTGTGTTACCCCACATCCCAGTGGGAATCAGAAGTGCCCTACATGAGACTGGCTTAGAGAAATGCAGACATGTTCCCAGCATGACAGATCTAGCTTGAGGGTGGCCCCTATCTGGGAAGGACCTTATGTTCTGCTGCTTCCTCGTGCCATAGCAGCTGGCCCGGAAATTACTGAGCGCACACGTTATTGCTGAGGTTTTTTTGAAGCTCCTGAGGTAAGAAGTTCCTGGTGGGTTTGGGGTGCTGCCCACCGCCTGCCTGCTGGCTGGAACTTTTACTGCCAGACACTTAGTAAAGATTGAAGCTGCAATATGGCCCTCCGGGCCTGAATCGTGTCTCGCTTGGCACTGGGAGCCCCCGCTGTGGCCTTGGGTAGCAGTTATAACCTGTCCACTTCTAAGGGAGAGCCATATGAGCCACGTCCTTCAGGGTGCTGGGCTCCTCCAAGGGCCGGGAGTCTGTTAAGGTGGTACAGTGACTGAAGTGTCATCAGGGGCCTCCCAGCTGTGTATCCAGCCCGAGCAGGGTGAAGGAGCCAACAGGGTGCTGGCACTCCAGGAACCCGTCTCCACCCATCCTCCAGCCATGTTAAGGCTCTGATCTTCCCTGACCATTGCGCCTGAGAAACTACTTACTATACTGGTCTCTGGGAAAACTCTGGAGGCAGTGCATGAACTATAGAGCCCGGGGTGGGAAAACGGCAAGGATTTAGAGGTGAGAGGGTGAGCTTAAAGGTGAGAAGGACAGTTAATAGTCAGCTTGACTCGAACTCTTGCTGACCAGAACAACAGTTCTCACACCCTTGAGGCAAGGCTTGATTCCACACCATCAGAGGTGCTGACCTTCCTACCCTTAGAGCACAGTCCATCTCTCCCCTGCAGACACCAGGCCAGAGCGGCGGCTTCTTCTCCTCCTCCTCCTCCTCCTCCTCCTCCTCCTCCTCCCCTCATCCTCCTCCTTCTCCTCCTCCTCCTCTTCTTCCTCCTCCTCCTCCCCTCATCCTCCTCCTTCTCCTCCTCCTCCTCCTCCTCCTCTTCCTCCTCCTCCCCTCATCCTTCTCCTCCTCCTCCTCCTCCTCCTCTTCCTCCCCTCATCCTCCTCCTCCTCCTCTTCCTCCTCCTCCTCCCCTCCTCCTCCTCCTCCTCCTCCTCTTCCTCCTCCCCTCCTCCTCCTCCTCCTCCTCCTCCTCTTCCTCCCCTCATCCTCCTCCTCCCCTCATCCTCCTCCTCCCCTCATCCTCCTCCTTCTCCTCTTCTTCTTCTTCTCCTTCTCCTTCTCTTCTTCCTCCTCCTCCTCCTCCTCTTCTTCTTCCTCCTCCTTCTCCCCTCCTCCTCCTCCTCTTCTTCTTCTCCTCCTTCTCCCCCTCCTCCTCTTCTTCTTCTTCCTCCTCCTCTTCCTCTTCTTCCTCCTCCTCTTCCTCTTCCTCCTCCTCCTTCTTCTCTTTTCATATTCTACATGCAATTTTGTCATCTTTGACTTATTGTTCCTCTTGTGAGCCTCGGTTTGGCTCTGGCATAGAAGACAGTGATTTCTCCCTCTGCTGCCAGGGTTTCCTTGTATGCTTGTACTTGGGCCTGGGTTAGAGAGGATTTTCTAGATGGCCAGAGCTGGTAGCCAGGGGTCCTGTACAGAGAGGGCTAGACTTGGGAAAGTAGAACCAGTCTGTGAGTGAGACGTGCAAGTGAGGAAGCTGAACTTAGGGCTCAGACGTATCCAGCTGTTTTCTTACTGTGCCCCCACAGGGGGACCCAAACTGAAGTCCTGTTTGCTCCCTAGACCACTTCTCAGAATCTGCAGTCACTGTAGTCCAGGCTCTGTCCCCTGCAAGTGTATCTTCACTGGATGCCCAGTTCCTAACTTTCCTTACCATTTGCCCTCTCTACTTGTAGACACAGCAGAGCTGAGAGCACCAATGAGATCCGTGTCTCTTCCCCTTCCCACACTTGCCTGGCTCCTCTAAGAGGCCTTTCCTGAACAGGCCCCTCACTGCCAAGCACTGCCTCTTTACTTCTCTGAATGTGGCTCTGACACTTGTCTTATGGCTAAGATGTGAACCCCAACCCCAAAGGCCAGGACAACAGGTGTATAGAAATGATAGCGCAAACAGCGGCAGCCTGGCCAGAGCAGGTGCGACTTCTCATTCCAAATTCCAGAATGCTCACAGCACCATGCCGATGGTGGCCTTCATTCTCTCTCCTGTTAAGGGCAAAAGGGCGTGAAGTTGGATGTTTTCTATCCAGCCTGGCAGTCTCTCTTTTTTCAACGGAAGCCTTTATAGTGTTTGCGTTTGATAACGGTTACCAGTATGGCTGGCTTAGCCTCCTGATTTACTGTTCACATGTGAAATTAATTACTTTTCTCCTCTAGTAGCATTTGGAGTAACTGCCAGTACTAGTCAGCAGTGGTGAAGATCCTAGATGGGCACCAGCTCAATTTTTCCCATCTTCGATGATGTAAGTTATGTGTTCAGCAGTAGGACCTTGCCATCAGGCTATGGAGAGTGAGCAACAGCCTTAGTCTAGAATGTTGGGGAGCAAATGGGACCCCTTTGGCCAACATTCTATCTTCAGATAGAACTGCACTCCTTCGCATTCAATGTCAGGACCTTGAAATAGCATCCATCTGTTTCCCCATGCTGCTGCATGCTATTGCCATAGTTTCACATAGGTAAGAAGCCCAAATAATACACTGCTAATATTATCTGTAAACAGCCAATTGTCATCTATAGAGACTTTAAAATTAGACAGTCTTTTCTGTTTACCCAGCTTTGCTGTTTCCAGATTTCATTCCTTATGTAAAAGTGCCTTCCCATTTCACACTATTCCAGCAAGACTTCCTGTGACATTTCTTGTAGTGTTCACTTGATGTGCATAAATTATCTTGTCTGAGAAATGGGTTTGTTCACCTTCCTTTTGAGAGCTGTGTCTGCAGTGTGGCTGTAGAATTCTGGGTTGAACATTCCATTTTTAAAGGAAGTGTTCCACTGACTTTGCACAGTTCTAACAGAATGGCTCCTGCCATTCTCGTGTGGCTGGATGGGGTCTAACATGTCTTCTTCCCTCTGA